GCACTCGCTGACGTCTTGGGGGCCCCTGGGGACCCTTGTGAAGGCACTGGGGTCTCCGCGTCTCCGCTGCAACCAAATTCGAGGGGCCCCCCCCGAAGCATCGGGGGGCCCCCCTCTCACGCAGCAAGAAGGGGGCCCCCAGTTAGATGACGACCTCCGCCTTAGGGTTTGGCTCGGCAGCGCGCAGTGCGCCCTCGAAATATACGGGTACTCTAAGGGTTTAGGGTTTAGGGTTTAGGGTTTAGCGTCTAGGAAGTTTTGCAAGGGTTCAAGCGACCTACTAGGGTTTGGGGCTTGCTTTACCTAGAGGTGTAGAGTTGGTGCCTTCGCTCTTCTAATGGAGTAGTGTTTTAGGGTTTAGGGTTTAGGGTGTACAAGGCTAGGGTTTACGGTTAGGGTTTAGGGTTTTGGGGGTTTGTTTGTTTCAGGGTTGTATTTGAGCACATCGCAGTCCTCTTGGGTACTGAGGCCCCTCCGACACCCGTCTTCTCATTGCCTGGGGCCCCGCGGGGGCCCCCAGGGGCCCCCCAGGGGCCCCTAAGAGCAGGAGAGGAAGCTGCATGTCCCCTCAGTGTGGTGCTGCTGCTGCCGAGGCTTATCCGAGCTGTCTTTGGTTGGCTCCGTTTAATGTCGGGTGAGTTTGCGGGGAACACTACGGCGGTGCTGAGGGGGGCCCCCCAGGGGGCCCCTTTGGGTAAGGTCTTGGGGGCCCCATGGGGGCCCACCCCTGGGTAGGGTATTGAGGGCCCCCCTTGGGTAAGGTCTTGGGGCCCCCCTTGGGTAGGGTATTGGGGGGCCCCTAAGATGTGAAGGTTGGTCTAGAAGAGGCGGTGAATAAAGAAAGGAGTGTCGATGGGTTTGTGATGTGCTGCAGATGCTGTCTTGGAGACACCGAAGGAGACACCTGGGGGCCCTAGGGGCCCCGGGGCCCCTTCCTCGTTGGGGGGCCCCCCTCTTCTGACTCAGGAGGCCCTCCAACGCCTCCGCCGGCTGGCGTGGAGGAGCGTACAGGAGGCCCTTTTGGGGGCCTTTCGATATTTGAATAGCTGCGCCTTGCCGGGATTAACGCAGCAGCAGCAACAGCAGCTGCAGCAGCAGCAACAGCAGCAGCAGCAGCAGCAGGAGGCATCTGTTGCAGCCCCGGCAGCGTGGTGCTGCTGCTGCTGCAGCACGAAGGCAGCAATGAGCATCCGTCGGCGCAGCATCAGCCGCTGCAGCGGGAACAGCAGCAGCAGCAGCAGCAGCAGCAGCAGCAGAGCGTATCTGATAAATCTACTGGGGGGCCCCAGTGGGTGTGTGTTGTCTCGCGCCTGTCTAGAGGCCCTAGGGGCCATCCTAGTGCAGTGGGGCCCCTTCATTCATGAGGAAGCGGTGAGGGCCCCCCCGTCCCTCAGCTCAGCTCAGAGTCCCTATCCACGACACCCAGGGGCCCCCAATGGGCCTCCCAATTACCTTAGGGGCCCCTCAGGGGTCTTTGAGGCCCCCAGGGGCCCTCGGGGCCCCTCCGGAGTCTTCTAGGGGCCCCTTCGTGGGCCCCTATGGCTCCTTAGGAGTCTTCTGGGGGCCCCTCAGGGCCCGGGGGTGTACACTGCATTGGCAGCCAACGGCACTTGGGCTTATGTATGAGTATCTGTGCTGCTATTGTTGTTGCTGCTGCTGCTGCTGTCTCTGCTGCTGCAGGTGTCGGATTTGCTGCTGCGGGTGCACGCGATCTTCCCGCAGAAGGACCTGCTGCTGCGGTTCCTGGAGGATCTTGCTGCAGCAGCAGGAGCAACAGGTGCTGCAGCAGCAGCAACAATAGCCCCCAGCGCGGCAGCTAGCAGCAGCAACGGGACCCCGCACTTGCTTGCAAAAGCTCTGCATGCACCTGTCCCCTTTGGTCTATTGGGGTGTCTACAGGAGACAGTTGCTGCTGTGCGTCCCTGAGTGATTGGTCTGCGTTTTTGGGGTTTGTTTGCTGTGTCTGTTCTCCATAAGCAAGGGCCTTGAGGCAAACGATTATTTTAATTATTATTATTAAGAAATGCATGCGTTTCTTCTTTGGCTTATACTCACATTTGGGGCTGCAAGCAGCAGCAACCAGCGCGATAGACGCTCTTCCTCCCAGTAGCTAGTTGCAGCTAGCTGGATAGGCAGAACCGTACCAGTCATGTGTAACTAACTAGCTAACTAGCTGACTAGCTAGCTAGTTAGCTGGCTAGCTAGCTAGCTGCGCACAATTCCCTAGCCAGCTGGAGGAGGTGGCAGCTGCATCCTAGGAGTCCCCTCAGCGGCTAGAAACTAAGCGTGTGGAGTGGCTAGCTAGCTAGCTAGCCAGCTAGCTAGCTAGCTAGCTCGCTGTGAGTGCGGCCCCAACAGCATTCCAACACTAATCTTGCAAACCCCTCTCCTTAGGGAGAAGCCCACTGCAGTCTACCACGAAGAGGGCCTTTAACTATATATATATATATATATATATATATATAT